GGGGGGGGGGGGGGGGGGTGGGGGGGAATGGCGGGAGGCGTGGTCACCGAGGTGAGCCCCCTGCCTGATGGACACCAAGATGCAGCTCTTGAGCGAAGCACCCTGGTCCACGTGACCGTAAGTGGCAGGGAGCAGCACCAGGCAGGGACCACAGCTGGCCCGGCCCGGCCCAGCGCCCCACATGCGACAGGTGCTCCAAAAATGTGGCTTCGGTAACTATCTGCTGAATGACTGACTGAATGTGTGCGTCTCTGGACACCGCCTGGACAGAGCCAAGGACAGAGGAGCAGGGCCTGTGGCTTTGGCCAGGGTGGGAACCCAGGCTGCCGAAGGGCTGGGAACCCAGTAAAAATCCACCACAAGAGAGAGACAGAAGACACAACGCCACTAACGACTTCGCACGGCGGAAGAATCTGACGGCAGTGATGGGCTACGTGCGATCACACATCCTAATCACGGAGGGAAGAATTCAAACAGAAGCAAAGGACAGTGCTACCGGGGGAGGCACAAGGAGCCGGCATGGCACCACAAGGCCGGGGCTTGTGCCTCAGCTCTGCTTCTAACACCCCTGGAGGCCCTAGGGGGCCGCACTCTTTTCCGGAATGCCCTCTGTGCTCCCCACCCACTCTGGCCAACTGCAAGGCTAAGAGACTGGCAGCACCGGAAATACATCAACAGAACTATGAGGTAGCTGGATGCCATGGACCATGACTCAGGTGCCAGGGTCATGCCCCCTGGGATCTGCCACAGCATCATGACCCAGGGACCGAGATGCTCTAGGAGCGAATCCCCAGCATCATGCCCACATGGGACAGGGATGGGGATGTAAGAAAAAAAACCAACAACAGACAAATGTAAAGAAAACCAATGAAAACTTCCAAAAATTAAAACAACAATCACTTAATCCTGGAATTATTACTACGGACAATGGGAGGGGGAAGGTGGTGTGCGGAGGGTCCTGGACAAGAGGGAGCCAGAGCTGGCTCGAGGGCAGGCCTGGGGTGTGGCATCTGCCCGGTGTGTGTGTGTGCAGCAGGGAGCAGGGGTCACCCCAGGACGACTGGCTACGTCGTCCATGCTCCATCTGCACAGTGGGGCACCACGCAGCCGTTAAACAGGGTGACTGGGGGCCGTCAGAGAAACTCGCAAGAGTGTCAACATACACAGCTGGGGTAAGAAATAAGGGACAGAACACTCTGCCTGTTTCTGCACAAAAAAGGGGGTAGTTTCTATTCTCAGAGTATCTCTGGGAGGAAACAAGGAAACAGGTCACAGCACCCCCTTTGGAGCAGGGTTGGGGTCGGCAGTGAAGATTTCCTTTTCACTGTTTAACATTCCCTCTTACTTAAAAAATTCTGTCTTGTAAAAATTAAATTTTCTTTTTCCTTTTCTAAAAACCAGGCCCATCTGACTCCAAAGCCCTAACTGATACTGGGATGCCTTTCCCAAGCTGTGAGGGTCCCCTCTGCTTTGCCCCTGCCAGATGGCTGCTGGCTATCCTTGGGAAGCACCCACCACCTGCCACCCGAGGCCTTGAAGTCTGGCTGGTCTGCTTGGGGCTCGGACTCAGGCCTCAAGTCCTAGCAGGGTCCTGGGCAGACCTAGGTCTCACCTCCTGTCCCCTCCCGCAGCCCTCTGCCCACTCACATCGCACTGGCCGTGTAGCTGGCGTCACCGCCCTCCACATACTGCACTTGGCTGGAGTACACGTGTGGGACAGGCACCTGCTGGAGCTGCTGCACCTGGTGTGGGGGGAGGGCACACAGAAGGTCAGGGGTGGGCCCACTCCTCTGCCTCTGTCCCTAAAGGGCCGGTGGCTGTCCAAGCTCACAAGGACGCCTGGCTCCCCGGCTGGAAGGTTGCATTTCTGGGCTTTCTGGACACATCCTGGACAGGGCCAGGGGTCAGAGGCCCAAGGGCTGCAGTCTCGGCCAGGGCTGGGAATCGGGCGAAGCTGTGTCAGGAGAAGCCAAGACTCTGTGCTTAGGCTGGGGACAGCAAGAGTGGGGCCTGAGGTGAGGAGGGCTGAGGGACCCCAGAGTCCTACTGCGGGTGTGAACGTTGGATCCCAGGAGTAGAGCCAACCACTGGGACAAGGCTGTCGCTAAAGCTAAAGTTAAAGCCTGAAACTACGTACAAACAGGGCCTCGCGGGTGGAGCCTGCATCAAGGGAAGGATCCCTGTCTGCAGGGGCGCGGCCTGGAAACTAAGTACAGGATGTTAGGGGCGGAGTCAGAGGTCAGGGGTGGGGCCCCGGTTTGGGGGACGGAACCTGGAATGACTGACAGGGCCTCAGGGGCGGGGCCTGAGTTTCCCACCCCATCCCCCCACCCGTCTGTGGGAGCGGAGCCTGGGACCTGGAACCCGCCTTGGGGGTGGGGGTGGGGTCAGAGGCGGGTCCCCAGACTGGCCGGGCCGAGGTGCGGGGGAGGGGGCTTCAGGGCTTGCAGGGCCTGACGGGCAGCCCGGGGCCGGGCGCGGGCCGGGGCCGGCGGATCCCGCCCCCGCCCGCCCGATGCCCCCCGCCCGTACGTCCGCCACCTACTTTGAGGGCCGTGGCGGCCGTGCCGAACACTAGCACCTGGGGGACTCTCTGGATCCTGACCCTCTGGTCGGGGCTGGCTCGGGCCGGGAGCCCGGGCAGTGGCTCGAAGACCACTTTCTGCTGCGGCAGGAGCAGGTGCGGGGGCAGCACGCCCACCAGCTCCACCCACTGCTCGGCGCCCGGCTCGTAATGGGGCGGCGGCGGCTCGGGGCTGCCTAGCTGCGGGACCTCGCCGCTGCATGCGGGCGGGAGCGGCGGCAGCTCCGGGGCC